AAGTTCAATATTTTATGGTTTCTATTAATTGATGAAGTTATCACTTCTGTCGAGCGTCCCGTGACGCACACCATTTTTTTTGTTCACGTCACTTCATTCATTCGTAATTAATTTCGCAGCAAAATTGACCAAATTTAAGAATGTAACGCACATCTTTTTGTTATTTGCAACTACAAACTGCTGTCAATTACACTAGGCTCCACATTACTACACACTTTTTGACAATATAATTACGCTCATACCAAACTCTACGTGCTACGTTCGAGCGCATAACGACTGTCCAGAACATGCCAACTAGGAATGTTATACGATGAACATCTTGTGATGACTAGATGACTACTGGTCGCACTTGAACAGTTGCTCAAGGAGTCCACGTGGGGGGGCGGTAACTGGTGGAGCCATTCCAGCAACCATTTTGGATTTCGTTACGTCATATTTGGTGGGGAGACTTGTTAGTGGCGCACTCTGAAGACAGTTTGGAGAAACAGTCAGTCAGTGGTGTCGCTCTGGTCACATTTCAGTTTACCTTGAATAAGGATGATCCGCAATAGGGCTCGGAATCAAACTCGAATAATTCGAGTATTGGAATATTCAAAAAGCGAATAATTATGTCTAGTCATAACTCGAATGTTTGAATAATCGAATACCCGAATACGCCAACATTATCAAACTCACACGGTGCACTTTGTATACTTTTATTAAATAAATTATTCATATTCTACAAGGATTTAAACAAAAGTAAATGGAAATAATCATTTACCGTCCTGCAAATGAGTATTCGAATTTCAGATTTTTAAAAGCTGTTCTGATACACACATAAATCCAATGAAGTCATTGAAAGAGCAATAAATTGTACTCCTTAAACATAATAGAAGTTACACTGTCGTTTAAACCATAAAATCGCTGCAATTCGGTCGACTTTCATTTAACCTTCATGAGCTGCTAGCAAGGAACTGCACCGCCGCTGGCCAGTTTCCATATTGTGTTTTGGTTTGGTATCAGCAACCATCACGCAGCACGTAGTCGCATCGCGTTATGCAAATGTAGATTGTTTTACTGGGAGCGTTGAATTTTAATGGTCCAGCAGTAAAAATAAATCTCCCCAGGAGCCGGAATCTGATAGCTGAATTGCCGAAAGGAATATTGCATTTTAATTTGTAACCTTGAGTTCAGATTGAATAGATGGATTTGTTTGAATATTGCAAACATTTCTGTTAAGTACTTGAAACTAGTAAATTAAATGAAAAAAAAATGTTTTTTATCTTCTTTACAGCCAGATTACTAGTTTAACAATCTTAACATTCATACGCCTGTTTGCCCCCCAAATTTATCGGTATTGCCTTATTCGTTCTAAACTGAATAATTGATCACAGTTGCTTCGGATCATGGAGTTGTTTCATGGCCCGCTTTCATGAGTTAACAGTAATGATGCTATTCTGCAATAATGTACTCTATTGGGTATTTGACAGTATGCTATAGAGAACAGTGCATACAAAAGCTAAATATTCAACTAAAAGAAAACTTTTTTTTTACAAACTTTTTGGGTATATCGCCTCAAAAATTTTTGTCTTTAAAAAAGACAGAATTTCCTCACGTCCTTTATTACAGATTGATAAATAGTGCTCCTATTT